GTGGGGACCGGCCCCCCCCCCCCCCCTCCTCTGCTCCCCCTCCTTGCACCTTCTCAGCAGACCCCTCCCCGCCCATCCCAAGGGTCCCCTCCCCCAGCCCGGCGAGGAGATGCCATGGGCCTTGGTACAGAATGGGCCAGGCCCCCAGGGCTGAACTGGGTCAGGTTCTGAGCTCTCCAGTGAGACCCGGGGCGGGAGGCCGTTTCTCCAAGTCCTGGCTTGTGGTCAGAGGCTGGGGGTTTTGAAATCCCCTGGGCAGGGACCCTGTGGGCACACAGAGCCGCACGGGGAGGGGACGTGGCTGGCCTGGCTGCAGAACCAAAGCGGAGAGGAGGGGGGGGGGAGAGGAATAAACTGGACCTGCCTTCCCCCACCTGGGCAGCCACATGGAAACAGTCCAAACCAGCGCTCACCAGCTCCCCCCAGACCGCTCCTTAATTGGTGATTAATTAACTCGGGTCAGGCCCAGAGGGAATGGCTAATCCGCCTTCCAGGAGCATGGGAGGATACTTGTTTGAAGCGGCTCCCTCTAGAGCAGGGGGCTGGGAGCCAAGACTCTGGGGATCTAGCCCCATCCCCACTCACTCAGGGGCAGTGTAGGAATGGGGTAACCAAGCTTCCCCGCCTAGACAAAGCCATGAATCTCTGGATTGGACAGACATCCATCCTGCTACAGGCCATGGACACTTTGTCTTCAACCAATGTCCAGGTTATTCCGCTAGAATGTCATTCCTCCCTCCGAGAACTGCAGCCACCTCTGGGGTGAGGCAGAGCAGCTCAGTATAACACCGAGAGGGCACAACCACTTTTTTGAAAAACAGTGGATTGAAATCAGAATCCCACTCGATCCGCTCCCTGCTCCCGGGTTCCTTTCACTGACCCCTTCAGCACCCAGCAGTAGGGCCAAGTCCTGCAGCCAGATTGCAGAGCTAGGTTCTGGGGGACAGATGGGGTGGGCAGGGAGGAGTGAGGGGAAGGAACAAAAGAGGAGCAAACGGAGAGATGGGGTGGGCAGCCAGTGTTTGGCCACTTAGGAGAGATTCCAGCGCCGCCCCACTGATTAGCAGGGTGCCCACAGCTAGGCTTTGTTTCTACTGGTGGTGCACATCCACACGCGCCTCAGTGGACATAAAACTTATTCCACACATGGCTGGGGGAAAAAATCTGCACACGAATGGAAAAGATTAGAGGGAACATTGGTGGGCACGGGTGGCATTTAAGCCAAGGGAACAAAGTCAGATTTATGGCATGCAGGGGCGGCAGGAAAGGGCCGGAGGAGGAATGTGCCGCGCATCCCAGCGCCTCGCGCCTCACAGCACAATAGCTGTTTTCCAGCCCAAGAATTACTTAACTCGGCGAGAATTTCAAACCCTCCGGTTCAACAGGGAAATAACAGCAAAGTCATCAGCTTTGCCACAAAAGGCCCATTCAGCGGCTCTGCACCCCCTGGCTGGTGTCAGCGAGGGGGAAAGTGCTCCCTGGGCTGGGCAGCCATGGGACCCCACTCTGGGACCCCACTCTCCGGCCAGTCTCCCCCCTTCACGGAGAGCAGCTACTGACCAGGATCTGGGCTCTGCAAGGGTGTGGGGGCTGGAGCAGGGGACGAGGTGGTTGCTGAGCTAGCCACCTGCTTGGGGGTATCAGGCTGGAGAAAGAGTCGAGTATCCCGTGGGGGGAGAAGTGCTTGAGGATCTGGGGGATCCATTTAGCCGGACTCCCCCTCCCTCCTCACAGCCAGGCTGGGGATCCCCCCCACCCCATAGCCTGCACCCTCCATGGGGGTGAATGAAGCACTTTCTGGGATACCCAGGCCAGCCAAAGAATGGATGCACCCCCAGACCCTGAACCCTCATGGCCAAACATCCCATAAAAGTCAGGGTGCAGCAGCCATATTTCAAGGTAGCTAATTCCATTCGGTAGCCTTCAGCACCACCTGCCCGCACACTTCCAGCGGGATAAAATGTGTCCAAAAAAGCCACTGCTGTTAGCCAGCTGCCACGCTCCATCCCAGAGGAGGCTGCATCTCAGTGCTGGGCAAGGGAGCCCCTTTGCTGCATGATTCTTGGGCAGCTTCTGTGCTCTGCCCCAGAGGTGGCTGCATTGGAGTAGCAGGGGAGAGGGCTGCCCTCCAAGTCCTCCCACAGACCCCCAGGCTGCAGTTAAGGGCTGTTGAAACCTGGCTTCCTTCCACCCTCCCCAAGACACCCTTATTCCCTGCCCCAGCATGGCAGCCTTAGGGAGAAACAGCCCAGAAGAGGGCAAGACAGGAGGGAGGGGAAATCATGCCAGCTGCACGCGCGCGCCACACACACACACACACACACACACACACACACACACACACACACACACACACACACACACACACACACACACACACACACAGCAAGCCCAGCCTGGGAGAGGAGGTTTATCACTAAAGGAATAATCAAATAAAGAAACAAGTAACCACTTCCCAACAGCCTTGACATTCTCATACCAGGAGGGCGAGGCTGGTGCGGCGGGAGCATGGGAAGGCGCGAGAGAGGGACAGGCAGTGCAGTGAGCACTGGAGCGGGGGAACAAGGGAAGGGGGCAGAGGAGAATGGCTGAAGGAAGGAGAGGCAGGGAGCAGGGCTGATGGGCAGAGGATGGAGACAGAGGAAAGCAGCCTGGACCGCTTACCATGTCTCTATGCAGCCAAGAGCACGCCCCCGGCTGCCCCATAGCCCCGGATGGGGAGCCCCAGACAGGCCCACCGCCCCCTGTTGCCCCAGCAGGAGCCCGTGACCTTCACTTTCTATTCCGAGTCGCAGCCAGCTGACCCCAGCTGCGCCCACGGGAGCCCTGACCTGCGGAGGCAGCTGCTGCTCACAGCTGTGGAGCCAGGCCAGGGCTGCCAGGCGCCTGGTCCCGGAGCAGCTGAATAGGGGCATTTTCAGGCACCTCTGAAGTGGGGAAACCAAGAGAAGCAGAAAGTGCTGTCAGGGCAGAGGAGGGGGGAGTGACCCCCCTAACTGCAAAACCCTTGGCGCGGGGAGCCTGGGCACTGCGCAGACCCCACCCCGTGCAGCTCACATGCCAGAGGTATCCAGTAACCTGCCAGCTCCCCCTCATCTGAGGTTCTTAGCACAGTCCCAACGCCTCAGAGCAGCCCTGGGATATGGGTACCAGCTTATCCCCATTTCAGAGCTGGGGAAACTGAGGCACAGAGCAGGGCAGGAGCTAGCCAGTGAACCCAGGCTGCTGGCAGGGACAGAAGCCAGCCATTATTAACACGCTGGAGGAGGGGCTGGACAGCGCCGGAGGGAGGACACCAAAGGCCCAGCCTACAGGGAGGGATCGCTCACGACCTGCCCTGCTTAGTTTACTCCCACGGAAGCCTCTGGCACCATGGTGATACAGTGCAGGGCCTTTGGGTGCCAACCCCAAGGATGAAGCAGAACTGGCCAGACGAGGAGTGGCTGTAACACACGAACGTGCCCAGGAAGTGAGCTGGCATTTAGCCCAGGAAGAAGGACTTGGGTTTGTCCAATTCCGGGGTTTAGCATTCTCCACCCACTAGGCCCCACTCCCCTCCCAGTGCTGCAAACACAACCTGGGTGTCCTGGCTTCCATCTAAGGCTTGAATATCACAGTGTCCAGTTCGTCCCTGTGAGGGACAGTCCCACCCCAGAACAGCCCCCTCACCCTAGAGAGCAGAACGGCCAAAGCGCAGACTTTCCTCGCCCCAGCATCAAGGCATGAGTGGCAAGAAACTCACCCTGGTGCGACTGGTTCCCATTGCTCTCCATGCCCCCCCACCTCTTTGTCTCTTCTTTAACACAGCCAGCTCATTCTCTTTCCAGACCCACCACGCCCACCATCCCGTGCCATCCAGACCCAGTTTGGCTGCCAGCCACCCCCTCGCCCAGGCGACGGGCATCGGGTGACTCAGCAGGAGGAAATGAATCTGTGATGCAGTTCATATGCCCACCCACAGGCACACAAGAGGCAGAAATGTCACTGGCTTGCACAGCCGGAGAGCCAGAATTCCCCTGGCACAGCTTGGACCTGGCATAGGGCACCCTGGGGGTGGTTACACCAACCGTCAGAGCAAAGGGGCACAATCAAGCCAACTCAACTACTTGCTGCTAACACTGTGTTAACCTGTGGAACTCACCGCCCCAGGATTCTGGCAGGCAGATTTTTTGGACACAGAAAGCGCAGACAGCTGTGCTGGGACCTGAAACTCTGCTTTGTGCATGTTTCAATCCTACTGCCTTCAGCCACCAAGCAGCCATTCCCCCCCAAACAGCCCTGCTGGGGGCACTGATTCAGCTGTCCAGGGGACTTTTCTTCCCCCCTTTGCCCTAATGTCCGAGCATCTCACTATTCACATGTTTATCCTCCCCACCCTCCTGGGCAGCCAGAGCAGGGCTGTTATCCCCATTCCTGCAATGGGGAATGTGAGGCACGAAGAAGCCGCGTGACAGCTGGGACTGGAGCCCAAGTCTCCTGGGGCTAAGCCACTGGCCTAGTTGCATCCTCTTAACCTTTGCAACAAACCAAAGCAACACAGCAGTCCTCCGTGAATGTCTCCAGGGTTGCCCGAGTCTCAAAAGCCTAGAGAACACATCCAGGGAGGGGTGGAAATGGGCCCAGGCAAAGGTTTCCTGGGTGCTATCTTAGGCTATGTCTACACTAGTGGGTTCTTGCACAAGAACATCTTGTGCAAGAGTTCTTGCACAAGAACCCTTGCCCAAGAACACGTCCACACTGC